GCTTTGGGTTTCGTCGCCCAGCCGGCCTAGCCCGACTCTTTCAGACACCTCCTGTACTGCAGGGCGGTTGATGCCGTAATTGCCTTAATATTGCAACCGGGGGAGGCAACACCAAGCGGTGTTTGGTATTCGATGTCGGGAGCTGGGTTGCCGGGAACTCGCTTCAGGTCTGGCGGCGCCGTTTATCTCTGGTAGGTACTAACGCGGGGGTGCCAATGGCATGGTGCGCATTCCGACCCCTACATTGCAACGGCCACCCGTCCCATCACGTCAACCTGGCTAAGCATGCATCTCTGCATGTTCCATCCTACCCAACCTGTCTTCGGAGTCTGTATAGACCTAGCCAATACTATGACTATGATATGAACCTATATCGTATCAAAGGCCGAAAGGGAAAATGTCCAAAAACATAGGCAATTACACCAAAAGACGCCCCTCAACGCTTGTATAAAGCCCTGCGTAGAAACGGCTCCAAAAGCAAATAATACCCAACACAATTCCATACTGATATACTCTTGGTATGTCCCATATGACAAAAATGATCACGGGTATACGACCATCACAAATCAACCCTGTTGCTGCATAGATAAACCCTAACGCTATTCTCTAGTTTGATTGAAAGGGCAATCAAGCCATGTTGAGCTGAGGTTCTCGAAGCGTCCCCAGGGGATGTTGGCTGTCCCCATCTCCTTGTCTTGGGTGAAAAACCACATAGACATAAGGCTACTGAAGGCTTTTCAACATGTTAAACCCGGCTTGGTCGTGGCTTATCTACAAAACACGGGATTACGGACACTATATTTGTAGGTATAAGAACAAGCGCCCCAATCTTCAGGCATGAAAATCAGCATCCCGATGCTTTACACCGGCGGAATCCAAAGAATCTTATATAATTCGAGAACATAATTCGAGAAACCTCAGGAAATCATAGCGTCAGAGTATTGGAGTGGCTGACCAATATCAATATAAGTCAAGCATATATATATATATATATATATATATATATATATAGATGTATGTATGTATGTATATATATATATATATATATAGCGAGAAAGAGAGAGAGAGAGAGAGAGAGAGAGAGAGAGAGAGAGAGAGAGAGAGAGAGAGAGAGAGAGAGAGAGAGAGAGAGAGAGAGAGAGAGAGAAAGAGAGAGGTGTTTCCTCTTTGAGCCGAGACTCTGCCGACCAGCTCTTAAACTTCACAAACTCTGAGCCCCGTTTGCGAGTCAGACGTTTCAAGTCTCACAAAGGTGAGGTCATGCTTGTAGTGGGGGAGTGGCTCACGGGTTGAATCGCCCTCGGCATGTCATTCAAAGGTATAGTGTGGCATAGTATAGTAAAGTTTCTAATCAAGTATATATAGTATATTCTAATCCAGCATGGTCTGGCATAGTACAATATAGTTTGTAATGTAATCTAGTATAGGGTAGCGAAGCATATTGATTGTGCGACGTTGGCAGTCGGTGGGTTGAAACATGCAACTTTCCAGAAATCGAAGAGGTGGGGTTTAGGGTTGAGGGTTTAGGCCGTTTAGGCAAAGAGAGTGGATATCGGATATTTCGCCCACATCATCCATTAACGAAGGGAGAGATACAAGCCCCACAAGCATCCCCAAAAACAAGCATGCTGGGGTCTGCTGGGCCTCGGCTTTCCTTGAATTCGAAGGCAGAAGGAGTGGGAAGTGGAGGAGTCAAAGGCTTGCACGAGAGGTTTGCAGGGGTGAAGAGGTTACAGGCCCAGGACTTGCAGCTTGGATGAATGTCGGGCGTAGGATTTGGTATTCAGGGTGACGACGTCGAAGACACACCCTAGACCTTTCTGGGCGAAAGGAACTTGACAAGAAGGGACGGCAACGTGAAGATCTGCAGTCAGTGTCGATTCATGTGACGAAGCACCAGGGTCCGTTAATCATAATCTTCAGTACAAGAGATTACAAGTACTCCTTGACACCTTACCCACAACTAGCCTAGGTGGGGCTTTTAAAGCCTTTGGAAAAGAGTAGCAAATAAGATCCTCTTCAGCCCAATAAGGGAAAATATAGAATGTCCCAAAGCCCTACCGAGTAGCAGCCTAGGGAAAGATGGCTCAGGGCTTCAGGCGACTAGAAGTTACAAGAGTGCCCGCAGTCTACACCCAAGAGTAACCTAGGAATAAAAAGGGCGCCCTTTTTGGTTCAAAGGGGCTTTTAAGTGAACCTGAACCCTTAAAAAGGGAAGAAGGGCCTACTCTAGGTCCTAGAGTTACAGGAGTGCCCGCAGTTTTTGTGGATCCAACATGGAAGCCGCGACCCCAGACTGTTATCAACGGCTCCGCTCTGCACAGCCGATTTTTGGGGGTCCTGCTGAAATGAAGCCGACGAGTTTTCTGGACTTCCCACTTGTGTTTGGATTTGGATGTTTGCAGTTACGAAGTACATCCCAAAGCCCTGAACCCAAAATCCGAAACCCTGCAGTAAAAGGGCTCTAAAACATAACCCCGAAACCTGAGATCCTGAACTGTTAACCGTTCATTTAGATGACTTCGCGGACATGGTTCAAAAACTCGGAGCAATGTGCGTGTTCCCGGGCAGTGTGCAAACCGTCGTGCGCAGTGCGCGAAGGCAAGTGTTCAACAATGCCTGGGAGTTTTGCACAGAGCGGGCCGCCTGCACCCCCAAAACTCACGGGGATTGTGCGTCTCCATTATTGTGCGTGCTGGCCGGGTTTTTTGTTTGGTTCGGGAGGGGGTGGCGATGTTGGCCCTTATATTCATTGGACCCAATGACCGACGTGGTATTCAGTGGTTCCTAAACGGTGAGGAGCTGGGGCTTATAACTTACAGGTCTTGACATTGCGAGATCCACCGGGCAGGTGGATGTCCCAAGCCTTTCTCATGTCGAAACACACTCTCAACATGTGATGTCTTAGCTGAGCTACTCAAACCCTCGAACGCCTGAACCCCAGTTCATCGTCCCTAAACCTTAAACCCTACCTTAAGCCTTAATAACCTACCTTTTTAGGGCTCCTTATTATGATTTCCTTATATAAGTCCTTAAAAAGGTAGGTTATTTGGGGTTAAGGTAAACCCTAAATCCATTCAGCCCAGCAGCGATCACGACGCATCCAAAGCTCCAAAGATCCGCTCCGCGTCCGTAGCGCGAGTGGGCGAGGACCTAAAAGGCGAACTGCTGGCAATCCCAGAGAACCCAATACCCCTTAATTAAGGAAAATACCTTAAATTGTAAAGAGATTCATATTATGGTTTAAGCTATATTCCTTAATTAAGGGATATTGGGCTCTCTGGGATCTGAAACTACCTGGAGGCTCCATAGTAGTTCCTTTTTGGGGTTCATAAATATAATCCTATAAGGTAATCCCAAAAATGAACTCTGAAACTACCCAAAGGGTCCATGTACCATCATAGTAGGTACTTAGTAGGTGTTTGGGCCCCAAATTTATATACGATACTACTGGACCCTTTGGGCTAATTGGGGGAGGCCCTACTAATTCGACTATGGTTTTGAGTACACTACAGCTAACTGAATTGTGTCGACCACACAGGCTGATTATCGAATACTTTACACACGCACATATATATATATATATATACATATACATATATGAAAGTGTACATATGTACATGCTTCAATTATACTGCTCGTGAGGCAACTCAGCAAATCTAGCTAGAAATCATTGCTGCACTTGAACCTCCTCACAAACGCCAGCAGAAACACACCCACGCAACAAACATCGTGGATGTCGTCACCGATGAATGTTGAAGTCGTAGCAACATTATGGGCAAAAGCAGTTGAAGCAGTAGAAGCTGCAGCAGCAGATGCAGCAAACGGTTTGCATTCTCTGTAGAAAGGGTAATTTCGGGGCCTAAGTGTATGACTCTATGACGTAATGATTCGATCAAGGAACTTCAGGGAAAAACACAGACTTGTACATGCCCGCCTGCCTCGCTGCAGTTATGAGGGTGCATCTACCTATATAGCTTGGGGGCTGAGTACCCTAGCCCACAAAAGCTTAGGCTTTTAAATCATTTTGTAACTGTAGGGTTCTATAAACCCCAAAAGGTTAAGGTAAGGGTTCACCTTTTAAATTATTGTAGGTTTATGTAAACCCCAAAACGGGTGTAAGATTATCTGCTCAGCTACTAAGATAGTTGTGTACGGAGGCCTTGAACCCAACCAAGGCCCACGGATGAATCTACCGGACCGGTACACGGACCCTTAGACCGTATAGTAATATAGAGGCCCTAATAATTAGAATAGGGGTTTGGCGCCCATTCTACTATCAGTTGAATAAGGACCCCCCCTCAGAAAACAGTACTACATTATGTCGTTCGTCGACATTTCAATGATCATGGCTTCGAACGTCCCTCCGCACTGTAGTGTTGTTGCTGAGCATCGGATGTATTCACATCTAGAAAATCCCAGCATGTCGTGACACATGCTATGCTTTGTGGCGGTGATGTATGCCTTTTTAAAACCCCAAACCCCAAATCCCTATAAACCCTAAACCCCTGGCGTGGTCACGGGCCGAAGTGTTCCTTTTAGCCAATGCCCACTTGTCACTGCCTGCCATTGTGGCATCACGCGGGTGCACGCTGTGCTGTAGGAGGCCTTTATACTTGCTATGACTGGTTTAGGGACCCTTATCTCTGTAACTATAGTATACGATCGCAAAAAGACCCTATCCAAACTCCTAAGGCCCCTATTATATGCTGCGAAGCTGTGTGCAAGCCTGTACACATGTGCACACAAGACTCATCATCGCGCAGCGCCCCTTCCCGCGCTGTTCAAGCTGCATCAAGCTTGACATCCCCTGTTCAAATCACCCTGCTAGGGCCTGTACAACCTCAGGGGGCGTCATTTGCAAAGTAAGCCATGCAGCAATTCGGATCTTTACTCTTCTTTACAGGGGTGTGCAGTGTCGGGCATTCGGCTTTGAAACTTCTGAGGCTAAGCCTCAAGGGGGACATGTCGGCAACTTTCTGTGGTAACGCCGACATGCCTCAGCGAACAGGTGATACTGAGCGACAGCGCCTTCTATCTGCAAAGCCCATGCCAAGTCGCACATCGTCTGGGAGTTCGAAGAAAGTCTTGTGCACCACTAGCTCACAAACGTCAGATGCAAGTCCAGTCTGATTCTGACAGCTTGCGACCACTTCACGACAAAAGCGTGGTGTGCTTTCCTCGACCAACCTCGGTGTTGATGTTCCGCCGTTGGCACGTCGGTACGCAGTTTTCTGCAGGGCAAAAGTTGCCTTGAAGTGATCTCTGGCCACGTACCATTCCTCCCGCTGCACTACACACTGATACGGCAGTAACTCTTGCCCATCCAGGGATTGGTACGTGTGTACATGAACACCGACTCTTCGGAAGAACAGGCGGAGGTACTCCGACAAGCGGAACGCATCATTGCCCATCATGGCGGGATCGTAGGAAACCCACTTTGAAAGCCCCAACTCCTTGCCAGCCTCGATGTTGGTCAGCTGCCCCATGTCGCCCGTCTCAGTACCCAGAGCAGGGATCAAAGGTGGTCTGCTGCCAAAGCTGGTCATGTTGAGCACCATGTAGAGCGTCCTATCCCTCTCCCGCTCCAGGATAAGCTGTGGCCTGTTCAAGTAGCAAATCGCCTGGCATCTGAATGCATCTAATACCAGCCGAAGAGCATTCGATGCCCAAACGGGCATCTGGAAGCCTTCTAAGGTCCCCATGATGAAATGCATCGTATAGTGCCCAGGCTTTTGCAAACGACACAGCAATGTGCACACAAAAGGATTGCTTTGATCGCTCCAAGTTAGAGAGCAGTCACCCTTCTCTGGAAAGTTCCGTCTTACCCGTTCAATTGTCGTTACGGGCAGTGCCGTGTGCCCAAAACATAAGTTGCCAACGGGATGCTGTGAGTAAAGGATGCCAAACAAGGTGTCGCAAAGCCGGATCCACGGCCAGTCCGTCCAGTAGGTTTCGAAGCATGCCTACACTGAACTTAGACCCCTAGCAATAACTATAACTTTAAAAATTTAGCTGTTTCTTAGGGAGTATAGGAACCAAAATTAAAAAGCATTTCTAAGTGCCCCTAAGATGCCCCGGGAGCGAGCATTTCTCTTACTTGACGAATCTCCTCCAAGTTTGCTGCGTCAGGTTCGCATTCACAGCTCCACGCTCGTGTTTCTGGGCGGACCAACAAGTGGGCAGGATCTTCGGGAGGATGTAGAACCACGACATCCTCAAGCACGTACTTGATCAAGATATCACCCCAAGGACTGCTGGATTGCTGGAGTGTGGAGGAAGGCTTCTGCACGAGGGTCTGCCAGCCCTCAGGGGAGAGCAGATGTGGAACTAGAATCAACCAATCCTCGATGGTGTCAGGTCGTGGAGCCTGCGCTGTGGCTGCCTTCATGGCTTTTCCAGGATTCCCGGAAAGCAGGGGGCCTCAATCTACTTTGACAGACACTTGGGAAGCAGGCATTGTCTTCGTCTCTCCAACGAAGCAAACAGCAAACACGTGCCTAGGGAAGCTACGAGAAGGAAGGAGGCATCAAGCTGCTACTTCATAGTCAGCGTAGGCATGCCGACATCTCGGCCCTTCAGTGTTGCCGTTGCAGGTGCCGCTGTTGATGGCCGTGGTGTTGCGATGACGGCTCAGGTCTAGACGAACCCGCACTTCGAGTCTGCTGAAAAACATGTAAAGATCCGTTTTACCAAGACATCGACAAGCAGAAGCGAAGCATAGCTGTAGCCCCTTAACCCTAAACCCTACAGCCCCGCAATCCCAAACCCAGAAGCTTAGCCGCCTGCCCTAAACCCTAAGGCCCGTTCTTTTGAACCCAGACATCATGCCGATCAGCTCCTAAAGCCTCCAACCCTACAGCTCCTAAATCCTTCAGACCGCCAGTACCAGGCCCTAAACCCTAAGCCCTAAAGGGAACTCCAGAAAGTTGGAATATGGTTTTAGGGTAGGATACCTTATAGTTTACCTTAAAGGGTTTAGGATAATCATATTCCAACTTTCTGGCTTTTACTTTAAACCCTCTGGAGAACTGATCTTCTTGCCCTGTCCGAAACTCCGAGCGAAGCATTTGAAGCCCAGGAACCAACACACACACACACACGCACACACATCCCTTCAAAACGAAGCTCTAAACCCCAAGGCCTGTAAGCCCTAAGCCTAAACCCTAAACTCTAAACGCCGTAAACCCTCTAACCTCAAGCATGTGGAGCAAGCAACGAAGAACCGTCGGCACGTATGGCGGACTCTACAGCGACCCTCTAACCCCAAACACGGGAGTCCATTCACTCTATACACCCTAAACCTCCTAAACCCTAAACCCTACACCTTATAAACCCAGCTGCCTCTGGAGCCATCCAGGGAATGGATCCGCGCATGGTGTGCCTGGCTAGGAACCGGGACAGTAGATGATGAATTTCTGCACGGATAAGGGGGCTCTTATATATATATATATATTTACACATCAAATATATACAATATATATATATATATATATGTATGTATGTATGTGTATATATATATATATATATATGCATATATATATATATATATACATACATATATACATATATATACATATATATATATATATATATATACATATATATATATACATCATTACATTACAACCGTGAGCCTTGCCTTCATGCTCGCAATCGCATAAAAAAACTTCACGGTAAGACCTCAGCGGGAAATGTCCAGCTGTACACTCATACATACTTCAACTAGAACTCAATAGATCCGTAGGCTAGTTGACTGGTAGTTAACACTAGACCCAAGAGTAACCTGGGAATAAAAAAGGGTGCCCTTTTTGGTTCAAAGGGGCTTATAAGGGAACCTGAGCCCTCAAAAAAGGGAATACGGGCCTACTCTGGGTCCTAGAACAGGTTTGTCGAGTAACAACGGGAAGGAGGCTCCAGTCAGGCATAGCCGGTCCACGGTTTACCCTAAGGCCCCATAGTAGTTCCTTTTTGAGATTACCTTATAGGATTCTATATACGAACCCCAAAAAGGAACTACTTTTTGGGGCCTTCGGGCTTAAAGTTTAGGGCTTAGGAACGTGCGCTAAGTACGTTTGGCATTTCTCCGGGCAAGCAGCGTCAGGGTGTCGTCGGTTCGCTTGGAGCATCCGAAGTCTGCCAGCTTGACGGTGTCACCTGCAGCCCAACCAATCTTCAGGAACTACGGTGCAGGATAAACGGCAGGTCTTGGCTGCATAGGGGTTGATGTTGTAGCTGTTATCTGTAGGCAAGGGCACGATGATCAAAAAACTGCGCAGATGCAGCATAGACGTCTAGATCACAGATCACAGGGTAGAAAGCCAGGCATGCATAGGCCATGTTCGATCAGGGTGTGATGAAGTTGCCTTGGCATAGATAGTACAATAGTAGAAGCAGCAGCTGAGTAGAGTAACAACTCTAGAAGTGATCATCATTCACAAAGATCTCCCAACCTACGACGAGACAAACATCTGCATCACCCTGACTTCTCAAGCAGCGAAACAATGTCAACACAGGCCCCCGAAATATGTTGTAGCTTCTGCAACGTACTGTGTTTTGCACCAGGTCGGCTATGGAATGAGACATGGCACAAAGGCGTAGAATCACGAACCTCAACCGTCTGCGGAGTGCATGTAGCAAAAAGAAACCGTAGCAACACACTCCTCTCTAAGCCCTCACCAGGAGTTGATGGAATGCTGAAGTTTGGGCTTGGGATACAGGTGCAAGCTTGACTTTATAACACCCAACTTTGCTTCGGGACCTTTGCTCACGGCTTGAGGGTAAAAGGGAGATGCCCTGCATCGACAAAGTGCAGTTGAGCGGCCGTCCCCGATGAGAATGTTGCTGCCCTGTCACAGTTGGTCTTGGAATGGATATGACCGGACGAGTCACGAGAGCAAGCACAATTGAAAGGGCTTTGAAGAGAAAGTTGGTATAGCTTCAGCAAGCTGAGAATCCCTGGTTTAGGATCTCAAGAAGAAGGAAATAACTGTGCATGCGCTGGCTCCCTGTCTAATTTTGCGGAAACTCCCGAATTCTGTGCTGGCAGTCGGAAGGCTGTCACGCAGTGCACGCTTGTGCTTTTAGAAGCAGCCTGTTTGACAACCGCTCAGTTGTCCCCAAAAGCCACAGCGACGGGAGTTTTACAACCGCGTCACCTTAAGTTGAAACGGATATCCTAACGACTGCTTGTACAGCCGTGTTATTAGTAGTCGTCGCAGTAGTCGTCGTCGTGGTGCTGGTAGAACTAGTTAGCAGCGCTACTCCTCCTCCTACCACTGCGACGGCGACGGCAAGATCGTCTTCTTGGATTGTAAATCCCTCTTCCGCCCAAAAAAAGCTTGCTTAGTACCATGGCTTGACAGTGCGCAAAAGCAGCTGCTGGAGCAGCCTTGATGTCGCGGTGGATGACCGCAGGGTCGCAACTGTGCAAGTACTCCAGCCCATCCTTGGCACGCTGGTAATGTAGGGCCTTTAAGTTTAAACGAGCTTTAGGCGGGGCAGTAATTGTTGCAGAACATGAACGGACAAGAAGAGGATATACTATTTATTAATCAAGCCTTCATACAATCGGGCCTAGGGTTAACGCTCTCGCAACTCGGACAAGCCAGGCGAAGTTTAAGGATTCTGCGCTTAAAGATTTTGCTCGCGCACTGCAGGCAGGGCTGAGGTTAAGGGCTTGCAAACACTGAACCCTAAACCCGACTATGGATAGCTCAACCAAACGTCCTAGGATTTCTGGTTCAGGGTTTTAGGCGAATGAAATGTACAGTCATGTAGGGACTATGAAGGCATGTTGTTGACACTACCACTACTGTACTGAGTCAAACCCCTTCTTATATAAAACAACATCCCTAAATCCAGACCGAGCAGCCAGTACTTGCTTCGAGTAGGAAGCCATGAGACCTTGCTTCGCGAAGGTTTGATTCGCGGCGGAAGCCCAAAAGAGCAAAGAGTTTCCGGCGATTAGACGGAAGAAGAAAAAGGCAGGCTACAAGACACTGCAAAATAATTTCCAATCCGGCAACGGCCTGGCAAACTCTTAGGCACAAGCTGATTCCCTGAACCATGGATGGTGCTCAGGCTGGGTGGCGTTTCATGCGAGCGTCCACAATCTCCAAACAACGAGACCCGCTCTTTCGACACGCGCCGCAAGTCTTGAGCCTTATAGAGGCCTCGATTGCTAATCGCCACTGAGTGACGAAAAGCAGTGACTGATTCTCAACCGATGTTAAACCCTTCCTAAACCCTAAACCCACTGCCGGGAAAGGATAAACAAGGCCAGGATGCTTTCGGCGAAGGGACCGAACTCGTTCAGGGCCTCCCAAATTAATCTAGGGGCTTTTATAATTGCCAATACTATTTTGGGGGTTCCTTACTATGATTATCAATTATAATATAGTGGGCCCCAGAACCTTTTAATTTTCTAAGTCAAGGCCCCTATATTACCCAGGGCATAATGAGCCAGGGTTCTCCGGGGTAGACTTACTGAAAGGCTCTCAGGCTTCTCTCAGTGGTTTACGTATTACTTGCCCTGGGTCTTCTCCGATGCCTAAGAATCCACTCCACTCAACATATACAGCCTAAAGATGTTGAGAGACCACCAAACACGGCACACACAAAAAAACGGAAGTCGAGATGAGGACGTCAGGGCATCGCCGAGGGCTCAGAGTTCACAGACTCATGAGTGTCTTCGTAGGGCTTTGTTACAGTTTGATCTCCCGCCAGGCTAGGACGAAGCCCGCATGGCAGGAGAAAGCTGCAAAAGGTATACGCTTTCGGCGCGTCCGTGCTCTTGATTTTGCCAACTGCAAACTGCCTAGCTGCACTTATGGCCGCACTGGAGAGACTCCAGTCGGTAAGACATGTAAGAACAAGCGACTCAGCAGACATAAAGACCTCCATCTTCACGACCTTGACCACTGTGATGCTCGACTACTGCAGTCGAATAGACCGAATGGGCGTTGACAGGCAGAGACCCCTGCGTCATACGATGGTTCAATAAACACCACTGGACTCATGCATATGCACTCACGTCTTATAAGTGTTGATGGTGCGAACTAGACGGAACGGGAGAGAGTGTGAAACGCAGATAAGCAAAGGGAAAGTAAGTGCAAAAACGAAGTATACAGAGCATGGCATCAGCCAAAATGCACCCAAACAGACGGACGGACAGACAGACACACACACACACAGACACAGGGACGGGCAGACAAACAAACAGACAGACAGTCAGACAGACAGACACCCAGGCAGACAGGCAGACAGCCAGAAAGGCAGGCAGACAGGCAAACAGGACGCACACGCGTAAACGTGCGTGAAAGACTCGTGCATAGTTATCATAATTAGAAACAGGTTGAAATCGGAGCATGACATGTCATGAACAGCATA